TGGCCCTGCAGCTTCTGTGCATAGGAAGAACGAAAACTGAGAAACTCACATTACTCCCCAGTAACCATCGAGCTGTATGTGTATGGAGTGTTTTCTCTCATTTGACGGTTTTTCACCTTACTTTCCTCATTTGACATTTTATTTTTTCCTTATCTAAGGATGTAGATTTTTTTTTTTAAGGAGCATACTTGTGCCTTTCATTTGGTTTTTACCTGTGCATTCGTTTCCTTTGAGATAAGTATAATAGGTATTGCCACCAATTTCCATTCCTGCCCTCCTACAAGGGGAGAAGCTACAAATCACACGTGGACACCAGGGGCAGTACTGACACCCAGATGGACCTTCTGTCCATTGCTCTGCTGAGTCAGGTCCTGGGCAGGCTGATGCAGGGAGATGGCAGATTCTTCGGTAAAGAGATGAGAACCCCTACTAAGGTCCCGGTTCCTATTTGAAGTGTATCACTAATGACCTCTGTGACCTTGAGTGAGACCCTTACTTCCTTGAGCCTGTTTCCTCAGCTTTAGACAGAAAGGATTGGGCTAGAAAATCATTAACTCTGCGGGCTCTGGAATGGAATAGTAACCTGCGGAGTTCAGCTGCTACTCGTGTCCCCAGGATGGCACTATTCTGCCACCTGCAGTCAGCCTGACGCAAGCAAGGCCTGGCACAGAAGCACTCATGGGATGCTCTGCTCGGTCATACAGATGGGTGGTGCTGACCCGTTCCCGACCAAAAAGGAGTCGGTTCTGTAAGGGAGACAGATGACTGCGCTGATCAGGGAAATCCATCTCATAGGCTCCACGTAAAACCCAGTAATCCAGAGTAGCTTTGGCATCAGTTTCCTAAAACATGCACATTACCATCCTGGTGGATCTACCTTTGAAAAATGAGGACCAAGGGCTGGAGGGAAAATGGAGCATGATTCCAGTTGGCACGCAGCTTTGTAGATGCGAATCTGGGTTTCAGACGCTTTCCCTACACCTCACAGAGTCCACCTGCCCCCAGAGCTGGTCGGGGGAGCTCTGCTGTCACAGGAAGAAGGCACTGTCCATATTGAATGTCAGCTTACTGCTTCCCATGTGTGTGGGTTAAAGATCAAAGCCTGTGGACCTCTGGAGGCTGAGTAACCCCGGGACAAATGGATTTAATTAAAGGGGAAGGAGAAGGAAGTGGATGCTGCCCACCACAGGGTAGTCTTATGCTCTTAAGATCACGAGGACTGTGCACAGGGGAGGGAGGAAGTGGGGGTGATGTCCGAACCTTCCTTCTGGGAGACGGAAAGTTAATTCAGATGAATCACAGGGTTTGTTTTTTTTTTTTTTTTTCCTTTTCTATCCAGCAAGTCCTCTCTCTCTCATAGCCACTCTAGGGGACTTAAAGCGAGTAAGAAGTTGACTGCGTTCACTCCCGTCCAGCTAGAGTTTCATTTAAAGAAGCCTTTGTTCTCAGCCTCCCTCCTCCCTGTTAAAGGCTATTACCAGATTGACACTTTGAATATTGATACTGAACCCAAACTGTCCAGGCGGGATTCAGACAAAGGGCAGCTTAGTTTGATGATGCTTCATGACCCAATAACTGTGCAGTTAATGAAAACAAGAGGGAACACAGGAAACCTGCATGCCACTGGCTTGCTCTGTGGCTGCAAGTGCCCACCCGTGAGCTGGAGGCTCTATAGGAGGCAGTGAGGCCCGAAGCAAACAGAACTGCAGGAGAAATAAGGCCAGAAGTTTTCACTTGCTAAAATCAAACTAAAATATAGATGTGCCTGGCCCATAAAAATCAAGAAGCTCTAAGGATGAAAGTGCATAGACTCTAGCATCAGATTGTCACAAATCCAGAACTGGCTCATCCAATTATTAACCTCTCTGAGCCTTAGGAAGTTGGTAATTTTCAGGGTGCCTTCCAGACTCTAAGAAGACCTGTATTTAGGTCCATGTGTGATCTGTTCAAACAGCCCCTTCTCGTACCATTCTCCTTCAGGAAAATGATTAATGTTTCAAGAGATTATTCGTGTAATTCTCAGGGACTATGACTAGTGTCCACAGCCCAGCAGCTCTCTAGGACTAACTTCTAAGCCCTGATAAAAGCTGCCTTTTACAATGTTGGAATGGAAATCAGGGAACCTGGAATCAGAGATGATAACAACCATACAATTTCATGGGGTTGTTATAAGACTAAATAAAATGATTATCAAAAGATTCTATGCATCCTAGCTAGCAATGAATTGTATTTCCTGCATCTTTCATCCTCACGCCTTTGGTATGTGGCCTCATTATTAATTTACTGAACAAATACCACAAATCAAAGCCTCTGCCAAGCCTCTTCCAAGACAAGTCATGTTCTATAAAATGAAAATAACTCAGTCTCCTCCTCTTAGGTTTGGGAAAATAAAGTGCCTGGTGAACTTCATTCTATATACTAAATGCTTAATCAATAACAACTATAGTTCAATTATCTCTCCCCACCCAATGCCTCAGAGAAGTCTGGGGTGGCCAATTCTGTAATAAGAACCAGTCATTCAACCCTAAGATAAAGATAGGATTCGTATGAATTTGTTGTTATCTCACCAAGAGAAGTCACTAGCGGAGGAGGAGTAAAAGACACATTCTTCTCTCTTCCTTCTGGAGAATGAGCTGTAGCTGCCTGGATTCCATAAGAAGAAAAGTGGAGAAAGTAGAGTTAACCAAGTGAGTAAGAGAAAGAGAAAAGTAAAATCGATGAGTGGCAAAAGCCCGCTCACTTCCTCCCGTCCCTGAGGTAGGCACTGACACCGTGCACACCCCTTGTCTTCCTCCAGTGAAGCTCCCCTAAGCAGCTCCTGGCTTCCTCTAATTAGAACCAGCTTTGTGGACAGCTCCCCTCCTGTCCCTCCAAAGTGGCAGGCCATTTATCCTGTGCTGTTTCAAATCACCTCCCAGGTTCCCGAGCTTTCATTTCAATATTTTTAAAGGCAGCTTTATCAGGACTTATATAAGTTACTCCTAAAGAGCACCCGGGCTGGAGACACTAGTCATAGCCTCTGGGCACTATGTGAATAGTCTTTTGAAGCATTGCTCATTTTCTTGAATTCCTATCGTTTTTAGAGTGCCTTCTAAACTCTTTGATAAGACCTTCACCTTGGTCCATGAGTGATCTGTCCAACCCTAACTTGGCCGACCCCTTCTGATAACATTCTCCTCCTCCGCTCTCCCCAGAACGTCTTTCTACTCAGCTGTACTATACTAAAGATTCTTGCCTTCCACCTCCTGCACCTGCCCTTCTCTCCACTCTAATCTTCTTCCTTTACCTTCCTTGTCCCTAAACACCACTTTTACTTCACTTTTTGCAAGTCTCCCTAGGATTCCAGACCTACCTACGTACCTACAGTATCTTCTCATGGCTTCTGGGGTCTTACGTATCCCTGCCTTCCAAACCTGTTACCGTGCCTGACGCAGAGTAGACCCAAATAGATCTGTGGTGGCAGGCTGACGCCTGGAGAGAAAGCCTGATCAGTTTTCTGTGTGTTCAAATGTTTTTAAATTATTACAGTAAAAGACACATGGCCATTGGCTCCCCTCAAAATACTCCCCTTTGCTTCAAGCACGCTTATCGTATAATTCTTGTCACTTTCTGAAGCAGTTCTGAAAGTGCTCTTTCATGAGCATCTTCACAAAGTATGATTTTAAAAATACAGTGAATGCTACCACTAAGTGCCATCCAACTGAAAGCCTGGCTCATAAAAACACTGTAGTGCGCCCTCAGCCACCTTATTCACCAGATCTGGCCCATCTGACTCCTGGCTCTTCCCCAGAGTGAAAATGACCATGCAAGGTAAATGTTCTGAATCACTTCCGGACACTGAGGCAGCCACAACAATGTAACTAAAGGCACTTATGAAAGAGAACTCTCAGAATTGCTTCCAAAAAAAATGGCAAGAACAGTGGAATAAGTATGTTCCAAGTGACAGGGATTGATTGCTTTGAGGGGGGTACTGTAATAATGTACTGCAATAATTTTTTAAATTTAAACATCTGTCGTATTTTGTGTTCATACCTCATATACTTCTAAGTTCCAAGTGAATCAAATGAGAATTTCACTAGGTGGGATCTGTATAACTTTCTTCCGCTGTTTAACCTGTGTCTAACCCAAGACATAAAATCATGTTATATTTATACTGCGAAGCTTTCTGGATATCAGAGCAACACCTGTTTCTCATCAGAGGAACCAAAACAGTTCGATCACACCTGTGACAAGGAATACACTTTAGTGGCTTTTCCTAGTACCTGTTTTTTCTTTGTCTGTGGTCACTGTCCTGTCAGAGTCTCTGAAAGACTTAGATCTCAGCTGTGTGTCCTGCTTCTTGTAAGTGGAGAGCTAGAGCTGAGCACGTGAAACAAAGGAGCTGTAGTCAGCCCGCTCCCACCATGCAGCATGCCTTCTGGGAGACTCGGTGACTGTGTCACAGGTATTTGAAGAGCTGGCAACGGAGAACATCAGTGCACAGAATGAAATTCCTTCTGCCCACTTACACGCAGGCAGTGTGCTAAATGTAATAGTCATCATTATGAAATCATAGCAACTCTATAACCATACTGTAAAGAATAAGGAGAAAAATTTCCAC